TGTAAGAGCCCCCAGTAAAAAATGATTTTAAAAAGAGCCATATTACGAACTTCATTTCACAGTGCGTCTGTCTGTAGAAGGCAGTTATAAAAGAGATAAGATGGGAAAGGAGTTATGGAAACTTTTTAAGAGCAAGGCCCCTTATGAAACAATGACCAACATCTTCCATATCTCTTTCAGCTACTACCCAAAGATCACCCACGTCGGAAGGTCCTGTTCTATAATATAACGGTGGAAAACCTAGATGAATCCACATCAACCCTCCTCTCTGTCCCCGCAACGCACAGCGACACAGCAGTCGCCCTCAGCCACTCCACGTACCGAATCTCCGTCACAGCGACCAGCCGCGGGGGCACGTCTCCCGCCTCGGCCCTCGTCGTCTCTGGAGACTCCGGAGATGGTGCGTTTGCTTCGGTTTCGTTCGCTAAGGCTATGTGGTCAAGGCGATCTGGAGCAATGGGGCAAATAAATGTCTAGTCCCTGAAAAACTGTGCGCCATCTTCCGTGGTGCCCGGCATGTCAACCGGTCTCAGCTGGGAAGCTCCTCGCTGGTGTGGAGGAGAGAGGCTTCCCGCTCGGCGGCTATGGCTTGTCTACCCCAGGGACTGAGCAGCAGGCCTGCGAGATCAACTCTCCTTGTTTCACGTAGCTGCCTCACCAACAACCCATCCTCGTGGAGATGTCGCGTTGCTGCTTAAGAGTTCTGTGGCCTGTGAATCACGGGTTGTGTGTAGTGTGTCGTCAGCGTGTGGTTGGAGTCCCAGGTGGTGCAGAAGGGAATCCCCTCATCTGCTAACCGAAAGATGGATGGTTCAAGCCCACCCAAGACCCTTCAGAAGAAAGACTTCTGAAAAAAGGAGCCGATGACCACTCTAGGGTGCACAGTTAGACTCTGGCACCCAAAGGGCCACTGGGAGGCCAAGTCAGCTCAGTAGCAGCGGGTTTGTGCTTGGTTTGATTGTGTCCATCTCTTCCTCATCTGTGCACATCCGCGTGCCCCGTGATCATCAGCACTGGCACCGATGGTGGAAAGGGGCCTCAGTGGCTCATCTCTTGGCCGGTGAATGAGGAAGCAAGTTGGAAGGGATCTGAGTGTTACACCTGGTGTTCATGCTCCTTTCTCCAGGAGAGTGGCCCAAAGAGACGAGCTGCAGAGACATGCTGGGAGACAAAGCACATTGCACACCTTGGGCACAATGGAGCTGGCATCTTCAGGTCATTTTGTGAACCTGACAGAGATGTCCCCCTATTGGCATAGTGATTATAGGTTGGGCCGCTAACCTCAAGGTCAGCAGTTCAAAACCACCAGATACTCTGCAGGAGAAAGATGAGGCTTCTACTCTCATAAAGCTATAGGGTCGCTATGATTGGAATCAATTCAGAGGCGGTAAGTTTGGTTTGGTTCTGGAGGGCAGGCTGGATTGTACTTCCGGTCCAAATGAAACTTCAACTTGGGATCAATGGAGAGTTCTTGGAGAACTAATGGAGACTGTATTGGAGATTTTTTGTTTCATTTTGTCTTTTTTTTTTTTTTTGTAAAGAACTGTCCTGCATGTGCAGTTAAGGAAAATAATATAGGATTCTCCACTGAGAGCAAAAAGCCGTTGATGGAGGAACTTTTGCTTTGTAAACATCTTTGTTGGAAAAGGAAGTTAACAGAGTTCTGTCTCCCCGAGGAGCCAGCCCACTGCCTTCAAGTCACTTCTAACATGTAGCGACTCTGCAGGACAGGGCAGAGCTGCTCCGGGGTTTCTGAAGCTGTCAGTCCTCACCGAAGTACCTGCCACTGCTTCCTCTGTGGGGTAGCTGGGGGTGGGGTTAAGCCAACAGGTTTTCAGTGAGCAGCCTTGTGTGCCACCGGGCTCCTTGCCTAAGGAGCGGAACAGGGAAGGGGAAACTGGGCATGGCCCTCACGCTGGGAGGTGGCCAGAGACCTCTCAGTCCAAAGCAGTGCCGCTTTGGGGTAGCTAGTGCTGCTGTAACAAAAAGTACCCCAAGTGGTGGCTTCAAGGACAGAAATG